ATTCCCAGTAACCCTAGGCAGCTCAGAAATAAAATAATAAAAACAAAAGGCAAAAGATGGCACAAATTGGGTAACAACCAAAGCAAAACCACATCACCCAGACGGGGACTTCACTTTCCCTCGCCAGAGACCTGGGCACAGAGCTCTTTGAAACACTGGCAGGGTGGGGGCCACCTGGATCCTGGGGGAACCTCATTTGAGAGGGCAGGCCCTGAGGCAGAGAAGGCGCACTTCTGGGGTCCCCATGGATGGCACTGTTTAATCGAAGGAACCCGGAGCGTGCCAACCCTGCCAGATTAGATCAGCTGGGCAGATATATGGGAGGCAGGCAGTCCCTCAAGTAGCCAGGCCCTGTGCCATGGAGGGCACCTTGAATTGCACCCAGGAGCAGACTAGCAACCAGAGCAGCCCATGAAACAGAGATGTTACAAGGGCACACTGAGGCACGCCCATCACTGCCCACACCACCGCATTCCGGACTAGTTGAAGCTTCCAGGTGGTCTTCAAGGGCATCCCTATGTAGAGGATGTTGCAGTAGTCAAACCACAAGGTGACCAGAGTGTGAGTGACTGATCTAGGAAAGGGCAAAACTGGTGTGCCAGATGAAGCTGTGCAAAGGCCTTCCTGGCCATAGCTGCCACCTGCTCACTGAGCAGGAGCTGCGACTCCAGACTGTGCACCACTCATGAATGGGGGAGTGCTACCCTCTCCAAGGTTAGAGAGGGAACGTCCCCCCCAGATCGGACGCTAAAGATTATCCCATGCCGATAAGTCCTTCTTCCTTGTCCGTTCCCCGGCTCCCTCGTCTTCCCTTGTCTCGCTGGCCCTCTGGGTGGGACAGGTTGCATTTCAGAGAAAGCCGTATTGGAAATGCAAGGTTCCAGCCTCCTGTCCGGCCACCTGGATTTGGTGCCCGGGACTCGTATCTTCATCACCCAACTTTCTTAGGGGTAATACACCCCGCTACTGCTATCTTCACTCCACTCTGATTTACCAGGCCTCCGCGTGGCTTTGCGGCTGTGAAGGGTGGCCGGGCCCTTCCAACTCTTGCCTCCGTTCTGGCTCTCCCGTGGTCACCCTCTCTTTGTCCCCTCCTTCCCGCTCCCTCCCTCGCCCAGGTCGTGTTGATTTCATCAGGGGCCACTTCAACTTCAAACAGGCCACGCAAGCCTGCCGCAACGACGGAGCCGCGGTGGCCAAGGTCGGGCAGCTCTACGCGGCCTGGAGGTTCTCCCAGCTGGACCGCTGCAACGGAGGCTGGCTGGATGATGGCAGCGTGCGCTTCCCGATCACTGCTCCCCGTCCACACTGTGGGGGGCTCCCGGAGCCCGGCGTCCGCAGCTTTGGCTTCCCCAGCAAGTTCCGGAAGAAGTACGGCGTCTACTGTTTCTCTGTGAAGTAGCAGGGGCGAAAGCCCAGACGGAGGAGGCCGTGGCGTAGGGCGACGACAAGGCCCAAGGAGGCCAACACCAAATGGTACCCTCCTCCAGTCAAAGTTCATCAGGAGACCGTCTGTAGGGATGTTCCTTCATCCTTCCTGGAGTCCGAGGTGGAGCTCACGGCCCAGGCTACTGTGTGCTTTGACCAAACACCCGTCAGGTTGAGTACAGAATATCAGAATGGCGTTTTTAAAGCGTACTTCCCCTCCGATATCTTGGGAAATTACTGCAGTACTCTGAGGTCCTAGTAGTAAAATTGTTAGCCCCTAGTGCTTTTGTTCCACACTGCAAACCCTTAATATTAGAAATGCTGCCTGGGCATTGCCAAGAAAAAATAACCACCTATGCAAAGATTCAGAGCTGTGTGTGTAGTTCAATGCCTTTAACAAACTAAGTTACCAACTCAAATTTCACCACTGCAATAGGGAAGTTCTTTGTTTCACTGACACTATTTAATTAAAAAGGTTATATTAGAAATCTTTATAATGTGTTATTTTGTCCTCTGCATCACGCTTTTTATGGACATTTGTTTGCAAAGGTGAACTGTTCAGGTCTAGGAACTGAAGAACTTCAGGGCAAACATGAATTAATTTTTTTTATCTATGTGAGTACTAGATTTTTATACCTCCACAATCACAAGTCCCTTGGACATAAAGAATACGACATGGTAAAATAAAGATGTCCATGATGCAATAAAATAAACAATTATTAGAAATAATCAACAAGCTATAACCCAAGGGCATCATCCTGATAATTTGGCTAAAAAAGCTCTCCGGATGAGCTCCATTCAGGCATCTGAGTGAGTCCAACCTCCCAGGAAGGTTGTTTCACATCACGGAGGCCATGATGGCCTCACCCCTGACCTCATGGAAGCGAGGAGACACCAGTCCCGTCCCTCTGAAGGTGTCCCAGTGCCAAGCCTTACCCGGCTTTATAGGCTCAAACAAGCACCTCAAATTGCACCCAGAAACCCACCAGCAATCGGTGCAGAACTGGCAGCACGGGTGTGGTGTGCTCCTGGCACCTTGTGCTACTTAACTGGTAGGCCCCACATCCCTGTTGCAACTGCAGTTTCCAGATGTGTTCAAAGGCGTGGAGCCTTTGGCTCCTACGTGGAGCTCACTGCAGCAGTCCAACCAAGTAGTGAGCGTGGTGAGTTTCCAGATCCGCCTGCCCCGGGAAGGGCTGCAGCCGCCTGGCCGGCGGGAGCTAACAGAGGCCTTGGTAGACAAGCAGCAGCCTGTCTTGCTCGGGTTCAGCTTCAGCCTGTTGCTTCCCGTTCAGGCCCTGCAGCCTCCCAACATCAGGGAAGACTTTGGCCCCATTGCCATGTGGCCCGGGAGCTGATAACGTGGGCAGAAGATAGCAACCGCTGGCCTCTCTCAGTGGCTTTGTGGATGTATACAAAGTGGAGGGGAGAAAACTCAGCTCTGCAGCGCTCACGACTAAGAGGCCAGTGGCTGAGGAAGGAGTCAAACCCCTCTGGAATGGCGCCCCTAATCCCCAACTCCCACAGCGCCTGCCAAAACGCCTCTGGGTCCAGGAGGCCTCTTCAGCCCATCTCATCTGAGCCAGAAGTGACGTGATCACAGCCCGGATTAGATGCTGTGCCCTCTCGAGCCCGATCATTGAACAACTGCTCTGGGGCAAAAGCGGCATCTAGCACATGACCACTTATGTGGGACAGCCAGAGGTTACCTGGGGGGAGCCCCCAGTGGCCCTTGGGGCCAGCAACTCCTGAGCTTTCCTACCCCCAGAGTCGTGGAAGTCTAACGATGGAGAAGACATGGGGGCAACGGAAGCCAGCTGGAGCAGAGAAGGCGCAGGGTGTGGGCTGCCTGTTGGGAGAGGGTGGACCAGCAGGGTGTGGAAATGAATGGTACACCCTGAGAATGGCCAGGGTTGCTGGCCGGCTGCAACTCTGAATGGGTAGGCAACTCAGAGCAACGTTTGGCTGCCGGAACTGGTGCCGCTCACGGTGCCCGTGTTCAGAGGCAGAACAGGACCCAGGTGAGGGGAAATCCATCCCAGGATCCTGAGAATCCAGGAAGATGCGATCTAGGCAGCCCCAGGCACGGAACAGTGAGAATGCAAATGTCCTGCCTCGGTTCCCCTTAAGGGAGCTCTGGGGAGCTCTGGGATCAAAGCTGTGGATCCAGAGGTAACCCAGACCCACCTGCTCATCACGCCTGTGGGTCTCAGTCAATGTGGGTCTCATTTTTGTGTCAGTGGCAAAACTGTCACAGCCTCCAAAAACGTAGGCCACATGGACACGCAGACCCTAACCCTTAAGGACAACGATCAGTTTGATTTCTTCTGTTGTCCTGCCTTTACAAGACAATCTGTTAAGTACATAATGCGAAGCAGCCTGAATCTTCTGAAAAAGAGGGGGGGAAAATCCTACTCAAATGATGTGAAGTACATGGCTTTTCTTCCCTTACACTCCTACAACACACACCCACACCCACTACAATTCTGGTGAAAAGTGGAAAAGTCTCCTACGCGTGCCCAGTGATCTTGATCAAGATTAAGCCCTGCAACCTTACATTACCTTTCAAAAAACCCGGAGATGCTGCACAGGACACACCATCTCCAGTCTTGATGGGGCTGTGCTTGGTCCTTGCAGGCTGTTGTCACTGGAGCGGTTGGCCCGTTTTTTGCTGTGTTCGGGGCTGATGAGAGCTCACGCAAGAGTCTTGTCAAGCCCACCGAAGCCTCAGCGCAGCTAGGGTTGCCCTAATTTCCGCAAAAAATGGGCCAAAATCTCGGTTTAAGAGACTTATGATGTCTATGGAAATGGTCTGGGGCCTGCGTTTGTATTCACAGCCCCCGTTCTCTGGTCCCAAGAACCAAACGCCCTCTGACCTGCTGGCTGCTTCTTTAACTGCAAACTTTGTGGCAGGAACATCTGGCGGAACATCCTGTGTTTCTCCCTCCCACCTCCTGCCTTTTGCTGGAAAGTTCTGGCAAATCCAGAATGGGGAGGGTCTGCAGGTACGTGCCCTTGGTTGTTCCAGCTTCCTACTGCAAGCTGATCGCAATCAGATCGATGGCTGAGCCTCCACAGGGCACATGAAGGGTTCACACTTCTTTACGGAAAGGGCCATTCAGGTGGGGGGCACTGCCCTATGGGGAACTGGGAAGACTCCTGAGGCTTGCTGAGGGACAATTGCCTCCTGCCCCTTTAGGGAATCCTGATCTCGTTCTTCCTCCCCGCCCTGCCACCACCGTTCCAGAAGATCGACATTCAGCGGATTGCAGAAGACAAAGAGGGACCAGCCCCCAAACGAAGGGGGTTGTTTTGCATCAGTCCATCCAGTGAGCAGCGGTGTGTGTCAAAGGAGCCCCCGTGATGAAGTCATGCCGGGTGGTGGGCTGAAGCTGCCCCCCCTTCATTCTGCCACTGGGGTGCAAACCTCTTGGGGAGGGTGCGTGTAAATAGTTAGCTTCAGGACAATAAGGGCAGCCCCCAAGTGGAGCGGGGGGTACAGTCCCTCTCTGAGAAAGAAGGACGCCTTTTGCACAAAGAAGAAAAGCGTTCCTAAAGGCACCATTTAGTTATTAGATTATCTTTATATGTACACATATAATCATGTAAAAAATGAGTAAGAGCAGACGGCAATTCTCCTCACTCCTGACTAGATCATGAATCCAGGATGGGGATAATCTTAGATGCCTCTTCGGTCCTAGTTTGCCCTGTCATTGGAGTGGGGGGGGGGAGAGGTCACAAGGCTCATTACTTGTAGCAAGAGAATTAGGTGGGGGGGAGCGCAAAGTACCCCCTTGACATGCACATCCCCCCCTCATTTTCCCAGTGGAAGCCAGAGGAGGCTTGCCCCCGCTTCTCGCCGCCCAAGGGGTCCTCTCCCTGCCTTATGCCTCTAGAACCATTCCCACGCCAATGAGGGTCCTGCACCTTTCCGATCAGGACCCCCACTAAGGACCCTTCCCCAGCCCTTTCTGCTCTGGAAACCAGGGCCTCCATTCCCTTCTTCAAGAGAGGCCTTGAAAAGTGCCCCCCCAGCTGTCCAAAATTCACCAGGGACAGGGGGCGGCCAGCCTCTAAGACTCCACGGGGCTGCAGGTGAATGGCGGCGATTCCCACTGGCCGGTCTCCTGGCACCGAACGAGCGGCGAGTGGCGCTGAATGAAGCCTTCTGGGCACCGGTATCGGAGGACAGAACTGATTTCGTAACGCTGCTTTGGTTTGCCAAACATTTGTGCATCTGCCACTTTGGGGGGTGAACTGCAGGAGACTGGCGAGAAGATGAAAAGGTTCAAGAGTCAGCTGCATCTTCTTGCCCAACAGCCGAGTCCCGGAAGGGATGACCTCTGAGCATGGGGCGCTTGGGCACAGCCGGTACGCCTGGCATTGCACAATAAGTTGCAGCGATGCTCTGCTGCTGGGCACAATCCTCATTTGGGGAAAAAATTGCCCAGAAGAGGTCTTTCATGTGAAGCCCTGTGTTCAAAGCAATGCCAGCTGGGGGGGGAACGACAAGACCCAGAGTGCTCCGAAGGGTCCCCATGCCCCAGCAGAGCCCCACACACTCAGATGTGCGGGAGCCCCTGGGCTTCTGTCCAGCCAAACACCGTCCAGCTTCCAGCGCCCAAAGGCCGGGCTGGGGGCTCTTAAAGTGTCTGAAGCCGGGGACCACCCTGTGATCTTTCCCGCAAGGCGGTCAAATGTGCTCCACGCCCCAAGCCTCTTCAGGCTGGTGAAAAAGAACAAGCTTAGAGGCCCGTCCTGACTTTTGGCCTGCATTTCTGAGGGTGCAACTCTTGACTCCCCCTTTCCCTGGCCAGTTGTTTTACCTTTAGCTCACTCTTTCAATGGGTCTTCTCTGGGGAAGAGAGGGACGAGAGGCAGAGGGTTTCTCCCCTCTGTGATACTCACCCAGCCCCATTTTGCAGGTGAAGGGCAGATGGTAGCCACAGGGCACGTCGCTCCACTTCCCATCCTTTCGCCAGGAGATGCCCACGCAGTTCTCCCCATAGAGGAAGTGGCTGTCGGGCTGCCCGTGGTGCCAATTCTCATACAGCTTCGAGGGGCAGGGGAGGGGGCAGGCAGAGAAAGAGAGAGGTCAGCCACTGGGGTGTGGGCTGCTGGCGCGGGCAAGGGTGGCAAAGGGGCGAGGGTTGCCCGGGGCCTCAGCCCATGTGGGGATGTGTGAAAGAAGGAAGGAGGGAAGGGCCTTTCTCATGACCAGCCACGGGAAAGCCGGGGCTGCTCTGAACTGGGGCATCATCAACTGTGGGGGAAGCCACCATGCTTCTTAAAATCTGGTGCTTTCTACACTGAATGGCTCTCTTTGATAGCTTCAGTGGACAGGGCACGCTGTATGCTTCTGCATTTTTGCTTGGTCTGCTAATAAATGTTAAAGACAGACAGAATAAACTGACAAGTATTCCGTACTTAGGATGAGAGGGAATCCCCTCCAGCTCACCCTGCACAAGTGTCTCTGCTGAGATGTTGCAGGTACAAAAATGGAAAGTCCTTCACATTGTGCCTAAGACCCCACCCCTGTCATTTTCCTTGACCCTCTGCCGTGGCGCTTCCTAACAGCCTCCTTTCCAAGGACCAAGCAGAGCTGACCTCGCTTGGTTTCCAAGGCCTGGTAAATGTTGCCCCTTGCCAAGACTCAAGTACCTCAGAGGTCGGTAACTGGCACCACCCCTTGGCCCCTTTTCTGGAGATCAGGACCTTCTGGGCTGTCCATCCCAGAGTTCAGCGCAGCTGGCCCCTTCCCAAGCTTCACTTACCAGAGGGCTCCCATTGGACCACTGAAAGTCCCCTTCAATTGTCCGATCGTTCAGACCAATCCACTGGTACTCCTTGTACTGATCTGGAATCGAGAGAGGGACGCATGAAGGATCAGGAAAGGGCACATCAGCTACCCTGCTCTGGTCCTAGGTAAGGGAGGTGCAAAATAAAAGCCACCTAAATAATTAAAGCTTATTTCCCTCCTGGCGACACCTGGACCTGCCACCCTTTCCTGCAGCACAGGAGGAGAGACCCAGAAGCCAGGAAAGTGAGGAAGAAGAATGGGCTACCACGGGCCGAGGTTGGGCCCAGGGCCCTAGTCTTTTTCCAGGAATCACACGTCCAACGCTTGCTTGCAAGGCCTGTGAAAAAGGCTTGTGGTTCAACCTCCAGCCGGTTTGCACAAGTTTGCCCACGCAGCCACAGATCACCCCCAAGCGAAAGCAAAGGAGCGAGCTGGAGCACTGCAGCACTAGAGCGTCCACTTCAGTACTGAAGCTGTAAACTGATCTCAACTTTCGAGACTAAGAATCCATACCGTTGATGAAGCTCTGCTCCTCGGGAGTCATGATGTTAGCTAAGTGCCCCCCGTAGTTTCTGCACTGGGTCTCGGCGTCTTCCCAATTCCTCCGCTCAGAAAAGTGCTTGTAGCAAGACCCTTGGAAGCTGTCCCAGCCAGGCTGGCACTTCTTTCGGCCTGGAGAGAGAGACAGAACCCGGGGGGCAAGTTCAGAGTCCCCCTAATTCCTGGGTGGACTGCAGCCTTTGATTTCAGCGGGAGGACCTTCCTTCTGAAAGAAGGGGAAATGGCCAGGGTTGCCTGAATCTGACCCAGAATAACACTGGGCACTCCCGCACGCACGCAATTATTCAGCCATCTTCCGCTGAACTTCCCAGTGAGGCTGGGCTCCAAGGGTTGCTGGCAACGCCTGTTATGAAGGGTAGAAGGAGAAGCTGCTGCCAGATTAAGGAAAGGAGCGGCATAATATCCCTTCTGGACACAGACGTTTTCCTAGCCTCCCCTGCCTGTTTGGTTAGGGACGCTCGCTTCAGGCCGTCAGCTGCTTGCTCAGCTCTGAGGTCAGCAGTGTGCGTTTGCACACCCAGCACCACTGGGCACTTTGCCCACTTTCGCATTGGCCAGATGAGGGTCTTTGCCTCTCTACCTGGGCTTCTGCGTCCCGTTTACTCACTGATTTCGCAGGCGTCCCCTCCGTATCCCGGCAGGCAGAGACACCCCGTGCGCCCACTGTCTTCCGTGCAAGTCCCTCCGTTCCTGCAGGGGTTTGGCATGCAGGTGTCTGAAAGCAGAGGGGGGGGCAGGTGTGGGAGTATGATCACCAAAGGGGAGGTTTTGAGAGAGGCCCTGATCCTGATCTGGCCTTTGGGGTGGGGGGAAGGGGGGTCAGTCTGCAGACAGAAGCAGCATATCGGGAGGTTTAAAGTGGAAGAGAAATAGTCCAGATGGAATGAGTGTAAGATGGCTGGATTCACACAACCTCTACACTCTAAACTCAGGTTAACAAAACACAGTGGCTGCGTTCAGATACTGGAGCACATGCCCAAATCGATAAAGCAGACTCCAGCTTTCTGTGACGGCTTGTTCATGCAACAGGCTTAGTGTGCTGGTTACTGACTGGATCCATTTTCTGAGCTTGTGCGATAAATGGAACCATAAGCTAAGGCTTTGTGCAACACTTTAAGCCACAACATACCTAAACCAGAGTAAAAGCTAAGCCAGCTGCACGCCTGGCCGCCAAAGCAAGGGCCAGGCTCTGCGATGGCAGGGCATGACCCCATCTCATCTATCCTGGGCCAATGTAAAATGGAAACCCAGTTTGCGATTGGTGTTGCCAGAAGGGAGAGAAGAGCCTTGCTTGGCAGGCGGAAGCTGACCCAGGGAAGGCTGCCTCTCGGGGGGAGAGCAGGGGGCAGCCTCTCCTGCCCTGGTGGCTCCTCGGCTGCCTGCCTGGGGGGCTCACCTTGATCGGCTCCAGCCCAGGGGCTCTCCAACCCAGTGCCACTGCTGCCCGCTGCTGAGCTGAGCCAGGCGCAGGCTGTCCAGGCTTTGGGGCCGCTTGCTCCCCACCTCCTTGTGGGGCGTGAGGGCTGTCCTGTTTCTGACCACCGCCACGCCTTCCCTTTGCAGGCTGAGGGGGTCATTTCCCACCCTCCTCCCTGCCTTTGCCCCCCAGGCAGCAGGGTGGGAAGGAAACCCAGCAGAGAGGCTGGGGCTGGATGGAGGCACAGCTGCTGCACGGTTGCTCCCGTCAGCCTGGCACCCAGGAGGGGTTTGGTTTGGGTCACTCCTAGCAAGTTGTGATACAGGTCAACACCCTGTTGGACAGCGCTAGGGTGCGTGTGCCGGAAACTCCTGCAGAGCCTCCCCCCTTTCCTTCCTCAGAGGGTTTGCTCCATAGCCCCCCTCCCCGCCAGATGGCCCTTGTCCCCATCTTACTGGAAGAGATGCTTACATGGGGAGATGCTGAAGTGAAAGCCTGCAAGTTTCCCAAGGGGACACACTGCCCCACAGAGTCCTGGAGGCGCAGCCGGTCGCAGTCCAAGGAACACGAAAGCCCAACTCTGTCCCTCCCCTCGGCTGCCCGTATCCCCCCGCGTCTGATTCCCTGCGGCCCCGGGAGAGCTGCCTCTGGAGAGTCAAAGCGCCCCGGCCTGGCAGCGGACCCGGCCAGGAGAGCCCGCCTCTGACGCAGGCCGGACTAAGTGACTGAGAGGCCTTCCGCGTCTCAGCTGAGCCTGCCTCGGAAGGCTGATATGCGGAAGAAAGGGGAACCGAGGCATCACCGTGGCTCACTAGCGGAAAGGCCTACAGAATGAAAGGCGACTGATTGTTAATTCAGCCAAACTAGGTCTCCAGAAAAAGTAACACATTGAGAAAGACAACCCTACAAGTAAAATTATTTCTCAGAGAGGCTAGTTTTCCACAGGCAGGGGGACTCAGCATGGAGCTGCTTTAATCCATACCAGTGTTGCACTTCCGTGGGTCCACCTCCTGGGCTGGCTCCTAGCCCCTGGTCCCACGGTCCCAGCCGGAGCATCTAATTTCTCGTTTGGAAAAGAAGCGCGTTGCTCTGTGTGGCTTTCCAGACTCCCGCGCCTAGCAATGCTTAGCACCGTCTCTCTCTCTCTCTCTCTCTCATCGGCCAATTTCTTTTGTGTTTGATTGCCAAACGTTTTGAGATTTCTTTGGGAAGGAAGGAAGGAAGGAAGGAAGGAAGGAAGGAAGGAAGGAAGGAAGGAAGG